GGGGCTTTTACAACATAACATGCATACAATATATAATAAAGCAAAATAAAGTACGGAACGAAATGAATCAGTACTTGCAGTGAAATAAATACGGAACTCAAGTATCTTGCCAGTGCTCAGCTATAACAATCCTTAAGAGAATTACAATAATAGTGGAATAGAATTACAGCAGAAAAAGAATGTATAAACAACAAAATAATGCGGCGCGCATCCCGACCCCACCATATAAGCAGTAACAATAGGAACATTCACCCTTATCACTCCTATTGCGGCGTGCAACCCGATCCCACCTGGGGGTTAGGTTAGACCGCTTGGGTTTTTTTTTCTAGTATCGAAGGCAGTCTTCCACTAAGAGCCCGGTTAGAGAATTATCGTCCTCGCTTCGCTTACCGCCTTCGTCTTTCGCCAGGGCCACTTAGCATAATATATAGTTTCAGTGTACTATAAGGATTGCAGATAGATAAGGGTGAAAATACAATCCTCTTCACAGACTAAAACCTATCATGCAAGCATTACCATCTTGCATTGTATGGGAGTTGTGGAAAAGAAGGAATAATATGAAATATGGGGATACAGTATCTACAGGCAGAGTGATATATCAAATATCATCCAATTTGCAAGCTCTAGTAAAAGTGAGAAAACCAGGAATTGAGAATGTCCCACATAGATGGCATGACCTTTTAGCTATGATGGAAAACTTCATTCCTAAGTTGAAGGTGACTAAAGTGCAATGGGAATTTCCAAGTGCAGGAGGGTTGAAGGTGAACACTGATGGTGCATCAAGGAAAAACCCAGGGAGAAGTGCAATAGGGTACTGTATTAGAGATGATCAAGGGGATATTGTGCTGGCAGTAGGGAAACAAATACATGAGACTACAAATACTGTAGCAGAGGCAGTGGCAATACTAGAAGCACTGCAATTTTGCAGATCACAGCATATGACACAAGTGTGCATCCAAACTGACTCAATGCTAATGAAGAAAACCATTACTGGGGAATGGAAACCTCCTTGGTCTATAGTAGAGGAAGTAGAAGAAATTAAGCAGCTGATGGAGGGGACTAATTATGAGGTTTCTCGCATTTTCAGAGAGGGTAATAAACTGGCTGATCACCTGGCTAATTATGCACTTGATTCTGGGGATATTGAATGCCATGAGTTTGGGGAACTTGATTCATTGGGCAGGAGAATAGTCAATGAAGACAAGCTGCAATGTCCACACCTAAGGGTAAAAGTAACTAAAAACTAATGCAGGTGGAGATAAGGGAAAGTTCCAAACAGGAGATATGTGATCAACATTGCCAAATCCTAAAGGAGGAGGAAATGAAGATCATTTTTTTATCTAACCGGTTGTCTTATTTTGCAGGTACAGGTATGCTATCTATACTTTACTTTTTAAGGAGGCCTTAGATGGTGGTATTAGTACTGAGTACTCAGTCCAACGAGGAAGAATTAAAAATAGAGTATAGCTTAGTGGAGGTAATAAGGGAGCTAAGGCACAGATACAATCTCAGGATGTCTCACTCATTGAGAGAAGGAAATAATCTGGCAGATCTTATTGCCAACTCTGAATTAATTAATGGCCCTATGAAGTATAAAGGATTTGAAGAGGTGGATGTCAAAGGGAAGACAATGTCCATACATCACAATAAAGGATTCAAGAAATTAGGAGGAGAAGTAGAAAGCAGTAACAGGAGCAGGAGGAAAATTGGAACTGTCGATTATCATACTCAAATCCCTTGGGAGAAGAGTATGATGATTATGTCTTCTACTAACCTAGTTTTTTTTTTTTGCAGGGAATGTTACTGTGGTCATGCCCTTCCCCTTGAATTACTCTCACTTGGTGGTATCAGTACTATGTATTCAATCCAAGGAGAGGAAAACAAGGAAAGGCACAAGCATGACAACTACTAGAAGAGAGCAACACATGACCAAGAGTGGGAGTTATACAGAAATTAGTCGACCTCAGACCATGGTAAAAGTTACAGTAGAAGGGCAACAACAACAAATAAAAAAGGAAAGCAAGCAAACCTATGAGGTCACAAAGGCACACAGCCTGCAGACAGCAAAATTCCCTTCAGACAAAAGGGAACTCAGCTGGATGATGCACCTGTGGGAAAAAGCAATCAAGCATAAGAAGGGATACAACTCACAGCATACAGGGATTCAGGCACAATTGAGGATTTATTATCCTCATGAAAAACAAAAACCACTGAAAAAACAAAAAATACAACACAATGAGGAAGTGAACAGCTGTAGTCTCATAACAATCTGCAAATTCCTCTGGCTTTGGCAAAGCACTTGGAGCAGTAATGCAGCATTTTCGTCTGGAACATCAACATGCAACTTGAATGAGGAAAAGCAGGGCAATCTACTGGTCAATAGCAGCATATACAGAACTAGGCAACCCATTCTCTACCATCATAGCACATGCAGCAGACAAGCTCGAATATCTTCAGGCGCAAAGGCATCACAATCACAGGTAGCAGGTCATATCAGCTGGTGTAAGGAGAACATTAAGCAACAAACTAGTGATTCAATCTGGGAATTTCACAAAACGGGAGCAAAAATGAAGTTCAAAGGAGACACCTGGGCAATCGTTAAGTCCTATGTTAGAGACAGGTGTGATCAAATGAATAAAAAGCGAGCTAAGTTAGAAAGAAATACAACAATGAAGGCTGAAAGTGGAGACAACACGTGTATAGCGACAAGGATGCAAGGAAAAAGGCTACAATTGCAAGAGCTGGTGATAAATTGGATGGAATGTGGCTATATATGCAAGCATAATGGAACGCTGTTTTGGGCCTATATGCAATGCAAATTTTTGATATTAATTGGGCCACTGGATGCGGACAGCAGGTGTATGGACTGTGCATGGGCTAGTTTTTATTTTACAAATTTTAGTAGTAATCTTGTGATATCAATTTTGAGTACTTTACTCAATTTTGGTAATAGGTTCTATGTAAGTCTCAAATTTTATTTCTCTCATCATGTTAAAACATTGAATAAATTGTTTTTTTTTTATTTTCTATATATAAAAACTAGCTCTGGGCAATGCCTAGTGGATTTGCTAAAAAAAAAAAAACCCCAGGGCGGAACCCAACCGAAAGGCGCTAGACGGACTAAGGTTCTCATCGGGCCAGGATCGATAGCCGTTCGACCTGAGGAAAGTGCGGTCAGATTTAGAATCCCCAATCTGATCTCACCGGGCCGGGCGAAGGGGAAGGAAGAGATGGGTGGTCCGGGAACAACAACGAGAGAGGGCTCGTAGCCCCCCCTCTCACTCTTCCCCACCATTTTCAGTAGTATTCTTCCCAAATTCTCCACTTACCCCAGGATTGGCATTTCTTATCTGTTTTGGATTGCTGCCACACATCAGTTCCACAAAAATTTCAATTCCTTCCTGGTTCTTGATATCTGAAGGTAGACTAGGAGAACTAACTATTTCTGCAGCCATAGAATCCCCCTTCTTGATGGTCTTGTTTTTTGTTAGTATCCCCAGAATGAATATCATTCTCTTTTGGCACTTCCACTAAGTTACTAACATTGGTTTCTTCTGCTGACACTCCCTTTTCTTGTTCTTTGTTCTCTGCCTCTATTTCTTCTCTGTTATCATTCTTATTTGTAACGGAAAATTGGGCACTCTGCCCATCTGTCTTGGTCTCCTCTCCTTTCCAGATCTTACCAGTTTATCATTAGTATCATTCAGCAGGACACTACCATTTCGAGTGCCCTTCTCCTCGTCTTGTTTGTTCTGAGTAGCCTCTTTAGTAGACTTTTGTTTTTCTTCACTGTAGGCAATATTTTTCATCTCCAATGCTCTGCAATTGATCATATTGTATCCTAATTTTCTACAGTGTTTGCAGTATTTAGGAACACCCTCGTATTCCAGTTTTTGAGTGTAGCCTTTTAGTGGAGATTCATCATATTCTTGCCCAACAAAAATAGAGTCAGGTAGTGGTTTTAGCAAATCGACCTCAACTCTAATTTTTACCATACTCGGCCTAGTTCTCCCAAATGTAGCTGCATTTAAGGCCAGAGGTGTACCAACAGATCTCAAGAGTTGTTTGATGTAATGCCAATCATGCATGTGAAAAGGAAGACCCGGTAGCAGGACCCATGCCGGAGCGATAGGGAGGTCCTCCTCCGGTTTGAAATCTGGTGACCATTTTTGAAGCCACATTTGCATACCCTCTATTTCAATAACCCTCTTAAACCACACAGTTTTGAAGTCGTCTTCATTGTAAAGATCGATAAAAACATTGTAGTTGTCGTAAGCACCAATTTTAGCAGCACCTTTCAAAGTAATCAATTCTTTGAATCTAGACCTAAGTCTATCAATTTGGGGACGGGGTTTAAGAAATCGGCCCACAAAGTGTACTTACAGGATTCTGCCATAACGCCATAGTAAACTTTGGCCTTGAATATCACAGCTGGTATCCCGTTGTGCGTCGCTTGTCTAGCAATGACTTTTTCTTTTCCAATCGGGTAGGGTTCGGTGTTGAAGATGAAGGAGCAGTGACAGTTGTAGCATAAGACTGTTTTTCAGTAATTGTTCCGTTGTTAAGCTTTGTGGCTGCTGGTGGGGTATTTCGCCCATGTTTACTCGCCGGAAGAGGGCCTTCCGGCGGCTCCATCAGGTGGATCGTGAGAAAAACGCGCTTCTGTGGAAGTTTACGTTACTAGCCGTTTGGAGAGAGAAAAAGCGTAACTTTTTATCAACATTTTGGTTCAACGTTTTAAATGATTTATTTTCAAAGCAACCACTAAAATATTACAACTGTAGTCTACTCCAAAGTCAGTATAAACTTCCAACATCATTTCCAGAAAAGAAAAAGAAAAGAAATTTCAGGACCAATTCTCCCAAAATTAAGGCAAAAAACAGTCCTTTTAATATAAACGCAGCTTAAATTAGAGAATGTGGAACTCTCAAATAGTGTTTGGATATCAAGATTTTCCCCAAATTTCCCCCCTTCTAATTTTCCTTGCACACAAAGGAAAATGGAAAAGTTTATCGGATTAAATAGGGGATAAAATGCTTCTAAACTAAACTGGCATGTCTGATTGGTCTACAAGTTGAGCATCTTTCCAAGAGAAATTACTATACAAAAGATCAACACTAGGGGACTACAACAACAACTACTACTACGCCTCAATCCCAAACAACTACTAGGAGACAAAAAACAACAATAACAAACCCAGTGAATTTCCACAAGTGGGGTCTGGGGAGGGTAGTGTATACGCAAATCTTAACCCTACCCTGGGAGGGCAGAGAGGCTGTTTTCGTACTAGGAGACAAAAGCGAAGAACAAATAAATAACTAGATCCAACGTCGACCCACACAAATACATACTTATTGTTCTTTACAAGAGGTGTGTACTAGAGGGGTTTGCGAAGAAATGCTCCCTTGAAATTAACTTCGCCTTCTTGAAATGGCCACCAAGAAGACTACCAAGAAGCGTTGGGGCCTCGGCTGGTCTTGTTTGAGGAATCTTACGCACAAAGATATCGTTGTCCAGAACCATCATGTTTAACAAACTTCTGCAACTCTAAAAGACACAACAAGCATGTTTTAGATTAGATAAAGACTAAGACCACGTGGCGCACTCACAAAGGCGATAAGAAACACCTTAGAGGAATTTACAGAAAGAAATAATAGAAAATTTGAAAAAAATATTAACAGCTGGAGTAATAACTTATGGAAAGAGAAAGCCTTTGGAGCGTAGATTATTGGAAAATTTGCAATTTCTTGGGCAAGAACATTGAAACCGCTCAAATATTTAATTCCTACTCACTTTTTACCTTTATAAGATCCTCCCTAGAGATAGGTTTAAGCAACAAGGAAACCAAAGGAAACACAAAATGCAATGTGCCACTTCCATGGAAAGTGGCTATACTAGCTTGTTACTTTTTAATTGATTCTCAACATACCAAAGCTCAATTTGGGGCCTGTCTAGACAAGTTTGAAGAAACGCAAGTAAAATCCATACCTGAGGATTCAGAACATGCATCTGCCTGATAATATCACCCTGAACAATAATTAAGTAGTCAGTTTCAAACTAAAAATATAAAATCAGAAGTATCTGTGTGTATATAATATATATACAAAAAATTTGCTATGAGTCCGGTTATACATAAATAGTAAAGCTCATACTGGATGTTTAAATCGGTTACTGTTTGCACAGTTTTTTCATCAATGATCAAAATGAAGATTAACAATGATCCTATGATTGCGTCCCAATATTCATAAGGAAATGAGTGAATTCATATGACATGAAGCACTAAAAATTGATATAAAGTGGTGTTCTCAAGAACACAGCAGAAAATCCATGAGAGCACATTGAAAAGATCGAGAAGCAAATGAACCTAACACGATCGCACCTTTTACAGAAGCCTACAAGTAAAGTAGAAGGAAATAAGAAAAGACAGGATACAACAACAACAACATACCCAGTGTAATCCCACAAGTGGGGAGACTGGATAAATTGAAAAATGAAACTATATTAACAAGAGAGTTACACAAAAATTAAGGAGAAATTCACTGATTTATTCTACAACCAACAAAGATCAATTTTTCTCTAACATTTTGAAGCAATTCATTACGCACAAATTTGGAAAGTGACAGTTCTAAATTGCACAGATTCACTGGTTATGATAAGGTATCCATGTTTTTGCAAAAGTAAAAGGGCATACCTCTTCTATTCCTGGATTTTGCATCACTATGCCAAGAACACGGCGTACAAGTCCCTTGTAGACAGGTTTATTTGTCGTACCATCACCATTTAGCCAAGGCAATATTGGCTTACACAAATGCAAACCATTAGAGCGGAGCTCATATGGTTCTTCTGGGTGATTTCTTGTGGGTGAACTAGCTTCGGTATGGCGACAACCTTTGGCCTCATTGATGGCTTGCTTTTCACTGGAAGGTTCAGCAACTGCTTTAGGAAGATTAAGAATTGTGATTTTGTGTACCTTATCAGAATTCCCACTCATTTCCTTCTGCAACTCAACATCTTTATGATCTTCTCCATTGTGGGTAATAGACTCATCTACTTTAGCTTCAGAATCTCCACAAGAAGATAATGTAGCATCTTGATGAATAGCAGCCACTGGAGTCAAAAAGTACTTGGAACGATATAAAGAATCAACCACCCGAATAGAATCATAGGCATTGACCTGCATTTTTGGGTCCCACTAGATGATTAGTCAAACAGAACACCCAACGGTTTATCTACTGTACTTTGTTTCATACTCTTTGACTCCTATCACGATACCTTCTTTCCTTTGATCATCCCGCATGTAAAACAAACAACTACACCAAGCAGTACATAATGTCATGGGTTTATTTTGAGTATTAGTGGCTAGCTCCACACAATCTAATATGCGAACAAGCTGGTCCGCGGCAAATTCAGCAAGTCCATCTCATTCGTAGAACGCGGGGCTGAATGATATATGAATCCACAGCACAAGAGACATGCTAACCCTTTAATGAGAAGAATGACAACACACCAAAAGTGATACAGATGAGCAATCTACTAGTAATACAATAATTTTGAAGTCCATGTGTGTCTGTTTATGACGACTACACAGACACAGACACTTGTTTGGTGCCTAGTCACCTGATTCATTTTTAAACCTACCAAAATTTTCTATACCACTAAACCAACTCAAGACATAAGGGAACTTATATGCGAAGCATTAACCCATCTGCTCATAGCTTCTATTCCCATCCTCTCTCCCTATTTGGTTCGGTACACTATGCTTTACAAAAAAATTCAGGTGAATATGGTAAATCCTCTGAATCTTTTATCTCGTGTGGCACTTAAAACCGTCATTTAATGTTAAAACCTACCAAAGTTAGCCATAATTCTAAAAATATTCAAAGCTTGGGGGATCCTGAGAATTTCAAGGTAATATCCATCTGTTTTCAGGAGTAGTTCGTCAGTACATATTAAGTAAATTCTCAAGATTTAGACATGCATAAGTGACAAGAAGACACCACACAGAAAAGTTAAACCCACGACGAAGAAACTAGAGGAGTTTCAAGAAAAAACTAGCATAAAAATCTACCCAGGAGAATCCACATCAACCTAACCATTACATGGATCTGTTAAAAGAACAAATAAACCAAACAGCTTCTATTTTCTCTACAAGAAAGACTCCTTTTTAAAACATCCCTTTACTAATATTTTCTATACAGTTAAATGAGTGAAAATCATTATATATCACAAACAAAACCAGATAAACCACAACTGAGGATTTCATCGGACTTCTTTTATTAGTAATTCTAAGTAGGTGCATATGAAACTTCATCCGATGGTGTACAGGGAAAACAAGGGAAGATAGCTAACTGTTAATTCAGACGAACCTTCAAAACTCGTCCAAATGCTTCTAGCAGCTCAACAACAGCTTCCGATACTTTTTTCTCTGAAAACATAATTACCAGATGCAATAAATATCTAAACGGAGGGGTTAAAAGACATTGTAGGTTTGTCGTTACATACCCTGCATCTTTAGAATCTTCGAGATGTCTTTCATGCACAAACCTTGGTCGCCAGCCATTTGAATAGCAGAATAAACAGACCTAAACATTTCTGGATGTACCAGAGAATTCTGTTCAGGGCAAGAACCAAAAGAACAAACATGTTGAGCATAGGTAGTCATGGCTTGCCATGGTGACTCGGTGGGAGAAACTGCAGTATATGGGACCTCACTATCATGAAGTTCATTTACTTGGTCATCTGAGTCGAATGAGACACTACCAAGATCAGCGCCTGATGTAGTAACGGCTTGATGCTCTTCAACAGATAGTATGCGATTATATTTGTCAATGTCTTTGAGTGAATCCATAGTTTTTATTCTTGAAAATGCAGCATGCCTCAAGCACAACCTAATTCCTGGAAAACCTTTTGCACGTCGTGAACAAATCTCACCATCACCAGCCGTTGAAGTTTTCAACTTTTTATACCTATCACTCTCAGAAAATTCACCGTCATCGTATTTACGTTTAGCTACTCTGGAATCCTCCACCTCTCCAACACCTTCATCCGGTAGGCATGGTGCAATTGATAGTTCTCCTGAAGAAAGTAGAGCACAGAGGTGGAAAACATCTCCACACTGCAAATCAATTGGAATATCCACCCCCTCAGCGATCAGTTCCTTCTCTCTTTCACAAAGCCAGCTAGCAAACTTAGCAGCTCTTTTTCCAGTATTAGGTGGGAATGGAGAAATACATATACAATGCAAGAAGGTCTGAGAAAGGACAAAAGGACTATTGGAATTTCCCCCAATCTGCAAGGAGAAAAGATTTAAAGCTTAGGAAATATCTCCAAATAAAAAGATGCAGGATGAGTCTCTCTTCTTTTTTAAAAAAAAAATTATAGGTCAAGATGCAGGGTGGGTCTTTGCAGCAACAGAACACCTATTGAAAGAAACTGAAACTGAATTTCATTTATTTCTAAGTTTAAGTCTATAGGATATAGATGAAAGATTAGTTTCAAAAGAAAGCTGTAAATTATACTCCTGTCTCTCTATATGCGTTTGACTCACACAAAATATTAGACGTTATTATACTAGCATAGTGGACGAAAATATTATAGAGATGAATGAAAAGCTAATCTTACATTACATTGAAGTACACATTTGAATAGTTTGATGAATTTGAATTCTTAAAAGTTGGGAAATCTTATAAAGTAAAATACTTAACGGAATCGTATCAAATATTTTGGAACTTCTCAAAAGAGAAAGATCATCATATAAATTGAGATGGAGGGAGTGTAAGTCAGAAATATACCAAGGCTAACAGCTAAATACATAGTAAAAAACAAGATTTACCAAAACTTTTTTGTCCCTGAGGTAGTTGAAAGCAGCAAAGAGATCATGCTCAGAATAGCGCCTTAAAGTTTCAGCAAGCAAGGTCGGCACAAGCGGAGATTTTGAGCTACAGAGGAAGATGAGCTTAAATAGCTCTGCAGCATTAGCAACAGCTACTGATTCATATAACCGTTTACTAATGGCGGTACCGCCAATTGTAAGTTTCACATACTTCTGCAAGATCCTATTTGAGCTTAATGGTGCACTAGAATCTTCAGTCTTTCCAGGAAAATTTTCAACATATTGGCCACCAGAAAGTGGTAAAACTGATTGAGGACCATAAGAAACCTGAAAGAGAAGGGAACATGAACCAAATTTAAAAAAATCTAATAAAAATCTGGTAAAGAAAACATAAGATAGAGTTAGTCACAGTTTGTTTCTTAAAACACAAGCAAGCTACACTTCTGCAAACAATCTAGAGCAAGTGCAGGTATCTCAAGTAGCTGAAATATTTGTCGAAATGCTAAGCCTAAATCTAAAAAATTCAGGACAAATTCATGCCACGCAAGTTCATGAAATATCTCACATGTCTTTCATTGGTATTAACATCTGAGCACTTATCAAAGAAAGGTTGAACATCCTTCACGGTCGCCGATTTGGCTATCTTTTTGTATCGCAGAGCATCATCCAGGGCCAATTTTATATTGGCATCATCAAAGTTATCCCACGGCTCTTGAGAGAGGAAGTCTGAGGTAAGTTTAAAAAAATCACAGTGCATTGCTTGGTGACCCTCATGGTTCAATGTTTTATTTTGGAATTTCTCAAGGTAATGCACATAACGCTGACTAAGCACATTACACAGTCTCATAACAGAATCGCAGAACTGTGGACTAGTTCTCAATAACACCGACATTCTCCTTCTGCAGGAATCAGGTGGTGCTGGTAGATTTGGAAGTTTTCCCCAGTCTACACGATGGAATTTTGCTCCAAGAGAAGCTCGGTGTCTTGCATATTCGATCACCAGTTCCCTGTACATGAAGTTTCTCATGTAATCCAAGTAACAAGCATAAAAATACAAATAGATCCAGGCAACAGGTTAACACGGATAAAGCATTAAGGGAGCGGCAGTAAATCACCAATTTTATGACAAGTATTTAAGCTTAAAAATCTAATTGTCATCTGTTCACAACCTAAGTTGCTCGGACACGGGTGCGGATCTAGAGGTCAGATCCTTCGAGATGTCAATTCTAAGATTCGGGAATACGGATACGGGTGCGGGGATCCGTCTAAAAATAATTCAACAAAATAAAAATATCTCTAAATTATGAGAAATTTTGCCGAATACTTACGTATAGCTTATAAAGCATTGGATTTCTTTTTTATTCTCAAGTTGTAGATAAGTAAAGGATTGATTTCCTAGATAAGGTCTACTATTTTCTTCAAATTTACCCTAGTTTTGGTTCTGATTACGGGAATCAAATTGTATCTCGTCTGAATTTATTTGTCCATCGTGGTCAAAGTACCCAAAATTGTTTGACCAGATCCGATACGGATCCCATACCCACAACCATGCTAGTGTCGTGTCAACACGGGTGCGGCACCTAAACTGCCATGTCGGAGTAACTTAGTTCACAACGACCACCCATTAGTTTTTTTACCTCGTGAGGTAGAAGAAATTCTATAATTCAAAACATTTACCTATCTGCATCATCTGTCCAATGAAACTTTCCCCTGCGTGTAGGCTTTACTCTTGATAAGGCACATTTAGCAAGAAAAGCACGCCCTACCCCATCATCTTCAGGTAATTCTGATTCTTCAGCAGCTACCACATCATCTCTTACGTGATATTCCTCCAAGCTGCATGTGCGTGAGCAAGAAGTAGACAGGAAAGAGCTTTGTTCCTCATTGACTATCTGGCTAAGCATCTGATGGGGCTGTCCAAACTCGATGCCAGCTTCTGCATGCTTTGAGGATTTCCCTTTTACAGATCTTTTCCTTTTTTTTGGAGATAATGCAGGCGTACCTTGATTTGGTTGAATTTCGCCCTTTCCAGCATCTGAAGCTCGCTCAAATCTGGTAAGTCTTCGTTGTCGCTTATCATAATAGACTCGAAGTACCTGCAAGTGAATTGTCACCAGACTGAAAGATGTATAACTTGAATACCGTTATCATTAAATGAGACATTACAATTGGAATTAGCTTATTTTTCCCCTGTGACAGGTAGAAAAGCCTCTCAGAATGTGACAGCCCAAATACTAATTTAATTAAATTTGTTTAATCAAACAAAAACACAGTTTTCTACAACAAAACGACTAACCCTTAAGGTCTAGAATAATTTCTTCACTCATTATATGAGAGTCCCAATCAAGATGATTTCTAATGGGAAACTACTTTTTAGCTTTTCATGCATATAATAGTGATCATTAGGCGTCGTTTGATGCATTCTTTTTTATTTTTTTATTGATAACCGTGGTTTCCCGTCAGCGGCGGAGCTAGAATTTGAACTTTATGGGTTCGGAATTATAATCCTTTTAAATTACTAGGTTCTAAGTTAATAATTTGTACATATTCATTGAATTTCTTAATACAAATATAGGGTTTGAACAAAAGTTACTGGGTTCGGCCGAACCCGCGACTAATCATTGGATACCTGTCACCTCCCACCAGCAAAGGTGCCAGGTACTAGGTAACCCTGTTTACCAAGATAGCAAGACTTGGATAGATGGGAAGAAATCACCTATGCCTCCGCTGGGATTTGAACCCCAGACCTCATGGTTCTCACCCACTTCATTGACCACTAGGCCACACCCTTGGGTGCTTGTTTGATGCATTCATTGATACATTAATTAAATGTGCTACCTAATACAAAGATATAGTTACAAATTCATCAAGTCTAACAGTTAGATAAGTGAGATAATCAGCCAGAGTAGTACTTCTTTAACAAGTTCAACTTCAAAATGTCCTGCAAGTTCATTAAACAATTTTCTTACTGCAACTCAGAGGGTGGGCAAAAGAAAACACAGAAGAACCTGCTCCAAAGTCAAATTCAGATCTTTAGCAATCTCCTCACACTCCTTGAATGAAAGTTTTCTGTGCGGGCCATCGTTAATAACACGCTTAAGGAGTTCAGCCCGCTGATCAGCCGTCATAACTCTAACTGAGGCCCATGACTTGAAGAGAAATACCTGACAAACATTATTCTTCCCTCTCAGCACAAACAGAAACCAAGGAAAAACAATAAAGAAGGATATATAAATTAGATATAATGCAACAAAACAGATGAAACGAAAAATAACAGTTCTCCAAACATAATACTCATCAGCAGGAAGTCTTTAGACATCCTATTAAGTGCAAAACTTCAACATAAGTTGGCTTATTAACGCCCCTTGGCTTTAAGCACTCTGTTGCATCAAGTATTATAAACTCTTGGGCCTTTTCCTGAGATGCTACAGAACAACTTCTTTAGGAATGCAAGGTAAGGCTGCATATGAAAGAGACCCGGTGTCATCCGGCTCCCCGTGGACATCACCACGCTCAAAGAATGGAAATTCAAAGTAATCACTGAAATGCAAAGAAAATAAACAGGATAAACCTCATTAACTGTGCAGCCGGGGAATGCATGCAAAGCGGCTTTACGATCACTAGCAGAATAGCAGTACTCTAAAGTGTTCCAGTATTCCTCAACAGCTTTTCTACTAGAAAGAACAAAGTCATGTCTGATATGAGGGCGAAGATCTGGACAATGACTAACATGAGATGAACCCACTGAGCAAACAGGTTCCTCAATGTAAGGTTTAAGCTCCAATGCATGAGTCAGAGTAGTATGAGGGAGATTTTCTGTGTTTTCTGGATGTCCACCACATACAAGCCGAAACAACTGCCATATAGAATTACAAGACCAATTAACTACTGCATCCATAAACAACTCACAGAAACTCTTAACACCCAATATTAAAGCACAGGAAGGAGTTCAATATAATGAATTCCATAACTCAGTTTTGATTTTTCCTTACATGAATCTTTTCTTTTTCAGAGAGTGAATACTTCCAGTTTTTTTCACCAATATTTGCAGCTTTAGGATTAAGTTTACTTACAGGAATAGCTAGTAAAAATGTATTTTACAGGGAGAGATATGTTGTATTGCAGTTACCACGAATTATAATTATTAACTTTCTTTGAATATACTCCTGAAACTCGTTACCTATTAGACGTGCCACAAGTGTCACAAATAGATTTAAACTACAGAAAATGCTATTTCTTAGAGTACTCCGCAGGTTCTAAATACTCTGGAAGAAAACAACTTCCTTTTAACCAGTAAAGAGTAACTTTATATTAGAATACCAGCAGAACAGAGTTGCTGAGATAATTACAAAGAAAACAATTTTCACTCTCATCAAAGTTCTCCCTTAAATAATTTCTGAACTTATTCAAGAGATATCAGTGACTGAATTGCATTTATCAGATTCTCTACAAGAAAGCTGAACTAAGTTATGATCTCTTCCTTTCATTGAAAAGCCTCTGACATACATCTAGTGGATAATGGAAACTGAAGGGTGAACTCCAGCGGAACTGTTGGATAACATTTTAGGCTCCTATGGAAATAGCGCATGTAGATAGAAGAAAATATGTCCTTTTGAGAAAAGCATGAATGAATGGACCCCTCTTCCAATAGCAACATTTATCCCAATAGTTCCTACAGCCTCTAGGAATCAAAAGATTATGGGGAAAGCCTCGTCTAGCAACCACATTGCACCAAGCATCAACCATTGAAATTTTCGAAGTAAAATTCATCATACCTTCAAACGTCGTAAAATGTCAATCAACCATGATAGTCGTCCAATCGCTAAGATATCCATCAGACGCTTGTACTCCAGCAGAGGAAGATCAGAAAGGCAAAATCCATTTCTACATTTCTCTATCATATCCTCAAACTTCTGAGTAGATCCAACAACTTGTAAAAACAGTTCAAGCGGCATGGCCTTAATGGCTGCATTTAGATCAATTAATTTACATGTACTATGAGGATTTTTTAGGTCATGACCGTTTTTAAAAGATGACAAATCATCATCACAACAAGGCAAACTATTCACATATTCCCACAGATAGACGTGAAGAAGCTTTGTGCGAACCATCTTGGCCAGTACAAATCCATTTGCACGCATGGCTTCAGCTCGCTCAGCTTGGTTATCCAATTTTGTGCTTTTATGGGTCCTAGTGAGATCATTCAGTTGAGGAATTGGCTCTCCCTTTTCCAATTGAGAATAGGATTGAGAGCGAACTTGTGACTCAAAAGACCTGAATCTCTCATGAATCTGTTCAGCAGATACAGTAGAAACCGAAGGGTGCAAAACCACCTGTATCCGACGGCTGTTTTTGCAATTTGTTAGAACAGGGACATAAACAATGATAAGTTTACAATGTCCTCCTTGCAAGAGCCTATTCAGACAACGATCTAAGGTCTTTCTGTCCGTCATTGTCGTCTTCTCCTTCTCAAGATCCTGAATCCGTCTGTATAGCTCTGATCTAACCAGGAACTTCTCCTCCTGATTAAAGAGAAAATATTTGTGATCCTTCACCTGTGGAAATATGTAGCCTAACGGCCAGAAGAACTTAAAAGAACAGGCGAGTAAAAACACCTGTAGAAGTTTAAGTATCCACTGCTCCCTCTTTGCATTGGCTGCATCAAATGTAAGACAGGGATACCTTGGATAAGATCGGCGTCTTGAAGGTGTAGGCACAGCAAGAGCCAGCGCTTCCACTGGAGCAACATTCAGTGATGCTGCACTCACAGTCTGTATATCTGGATCAGAAGTGGTACTGCTTACCTTGATGGTCGAGTCCGGTGATCTGCTCAGAAAAAGTGGGACAGATTCATCCTTTTCATCCAGCACCAAGCCATCAGAAACTTTTGTTTCGATTCTTGTGTTTACATTTTCGCTATTAGCTGCACTGTCACCTTCAGGAACTGAAGCATCCACTGCTTGTATAGCTAATGCCGAGTTCTCTTGAAATTCTAAATGTGTTCCAAGTGGAGTGCACCCAGAAATTTCCGAAGGGTCTACTACTGGTTCATTCAGAGTGATAGTTGAAGCTCCAGGATTACGGTTTCCAGGCGTCCAGAGTCGGTAACCCTTGGTCCTGTTCATGAGTTCTGGCTCCATATGAATTCCGAATCTCTTAATAATATCAAACAGCCGACCATAGTGTTGTTTGTTGTTTATTCCCAGCCTTTTGCACACCTGTGAACATTATAATGGCAAAGAATCACATATGTATATATGAAGGAACCCTCACATAAGCGTCATATTTTTGAAAGTCAATGCACACACAAATACAGGAATGCAACTATAAATTATCCAAATTATACACATGTATGAGTACCAAATCACCATATACCTGACTACAAAAGATTCAAAATATTATCCCAGGCTTGAAGAATGATCATAAAGACAAAAAATGAGGCTTTGGGTGAAATTATACCTAAAAATGATCATAAAGACATAATCAACTTGAGTTCAAAGTTGACTGACAAAAGAACCAAAAAATTATGATCCAAGACACAAATTATAGATCGATGAAATTACACCAGAAATGAAGAAGAGAATATACACGTGAAATAACAGCAGCACTAGCAAAATGACACCAGCATTAGATTAGAAATTCATAAAAGAAAATATCCTATACCTCAATGAATGGCAACCCTCTACCTCCCTCAGCATCAACCATATCATAAATCTGATGCTCTATAGGAAGCTCTAAAAGCAGGTCCGAAATGTGACCTCTCTTGGCCTTTTTCATTGCTGTTTCATTATCAAGATCATCACATCCACGCATGCTAGATTTTTGCTCAAAATGTTTTCGTGAAAACGCCTTCAATAGATATATACACTCGAGTTCCTGCGAAGGTGCAAAAGCTAAGCAATTAATTAGCCAGTCAAAGTCCTAATTCATAGGCTGCAGTTATTTTAGCTAATATTCACACAAAATGAAAACTTTTGTTGGAGTACAGCCAGCTACCATGTTGTGAGCAGTAATAATATACGTAAGAGCTTAAGACTGTCTTGTTTTGATGAAGTAAACAAAATTTGTTGATAGTCGAGCAAAAACCTGCATACAAGTGGTATACCAAAAAGTAAAAAACCTAACAAAAACAAATGGTTCTCTACAAATTCCCCCAATCGTCTATACATACAGGAATCTCACGAGTGCACCAAGAAGCAATAAGGGCCAAGAGGCTATTCAGGCTATTTCTCAACTGTGCGAAATTATTCTCTACCCTTCAAAAACTCTCATATTTCTCTCTCTCCACACGACTCACATAAGTACAAGTGGAGCAACCTTCCATGCCCTGGGGCTCCTCCTCCGTCTTGTGCAATTCCAACTAAACAATATTTCTTTCACTGTGTCGGGCATCACTCAAAATGTACCAAACCGATACAGGATTTCCCACCATAACCAACAAGCTACCGAGCAATGTAGAAGGAGATGGTATGCGTCTTCACCTGATCCCTTACACATAGAACACCAGCTGACGTAAGTAATTTTCCTCTTCCTTAGATTATCAGCCATTAAGATCACCCCTCATGCTGCTAACCAGGTGAAAAAACATACCTTTCTCAGTACCCTAGGGATCCATACAGAAAAACGTGGAAAGTCTACCTCCTCCCTGATCAAAAGTTTCCTATAATAAGACTTAACAGAAAAAGCTCCACTGTTCCCTGGCTTCCACCTCCATACATCGCTTGATCCTGAGATGTACTTTGTTTGATAAGTAATTCAACCAATCTTTGAAATTCTGACACCTCCCAATCTTAGAAGTTCCTCTTAAAGCTCAAATCCTGAAATACTTCTCCATCTTCCCTGTTTATGGCACATACAGGTTTTTTCTTTATAAGACGTAGAGGGATAAAAGTGGAACTTTGAAATCTGTTTAGTTAGAGAGAAGATGAAGACAGGAAAAGATGAAAGTAAGAAACTTGCACTGGAATCTATTGTAAGTAAGTTAGCCCCCCAC